TGGTAGCTAGAGTTCGATCAAGATTTCAATAGTAAAGAGAGAGAAAGACTGAATATGAATCTTTCATTTCTAAAAAATAAATAAAGATTTAAAAGAGTATTAAAAAAAAACTAACGGAGACCCATGCGATGCACGAGATTTGTTAAGTTAAAGTTAAATAATAAAAATACATAAAAGTATACAATTGTTTTATATTTTTAAATTTTTAAATAATTAATAATTATTTATATTTTGAGTTTGACAATGATATATAAAAGATATGATATCTGAAAAAAATTTTACCAATCAACTAGTATCACATGGTAGCCAATAGGTGTTATTTATCAAAATTCATAGGTGGATTTCCATTGCTCAAAACTCTTTAGATACCATATCTTTCTCCCGTCATAGATCTTCCCTTATATACTACTATTAATATTTTTTTACAACACAAAAATAACAATAATTAATTTCAATTAGTTCTGTGTAGACCAGTTTATGGGTCAGGTTGGGCTAGGTTCAGGCTAGGCTTTGTATATGTATCAACAAAATACACTCAGGCCCGAGCCCGAGCCCAAGCCCAGCCCAATCATTTGGCCTCTAGGTCTTGAGCCCGAGCCCAGCCCTCATATAAAGCCCGAAGCCTGGGCCCAAGCCTAAGCCCGAGCAAAAATTTGAAAACAGATTTTTTTCTTTTTTATTTAATAAAGTGTTTTATTTATATTAAAAACCTTCAAAACTAAAAAATGATAAACATCTCACTATTACTTGAAAAAATAGAAGAAGAACAAAGAAAAAATATTGTATATAATTTTTATTAAATAAAATATATTTTTATTATTTAATATATAGTATCAAGTCGGGCTCAGGTCAGGCTTTTTTGAGAAAGCCTAAGCCTAGCCCGAAAAAAAAGTCGGGCCGGATGCTTTAGGCCCAAGCCTAAGCCCGCAACCTAAAATTATGACCAAGCCCAACTTATAATGGGTCAAGCCAGGCCAGCCCGTCAGGCTACCCGGCCCATGAGCATGTCTAGTGCTATTCATCATACAAATGAAACCAACCAACTCGACTTGAGTTGGTTGATTTTGAGTTTTCTAGTATTTTTGGCTAGCTTTGGTTCAACATTTCCCAACCTAACCATGTTAGATTAGTTTTGCTTTGGCCATTTGTAAATTGACCAAAATTGAATGGCTCGACCATATATATATATATATATATATTATATTTTAATATAATTTTTAATACAAAAAAGTGGGAAATCCCCATATTTTCTGAGTCTAAAACATTTTATATCTTGAATTTAATTTTCAAACTTATTTTTTAAGTTTAAATATTTTGAACCAACTAACCAAATCGAAAATGGACTCAAACTGATACAACCTGAGTTGGGCGGATTTCACTAATGATAAGTTGGTTTCAGGTAGGGGTGCAAATGGACCAGATCATGATCCGATTCGAAGTCCGATCCTATATTCTTGGATTCAGATAGCCCCATTTCAAATCTTCAAATCAGATCAAATAATAGGATCCGATCAGAAATCGGATCAAATTTAGATCACTCGTCCCCTATCTGATTTGATAAGATAAGATTCAATCCGATATATATGTTATTTATTTAAATAAATATAAAACACATAGATATATTACTTATTTATTCATTTATAAATATACTATTTATATTGTATTTTTGTAAATTTGTTATATTATTTATTTTTTTATAAAAACGTGTATATATTATGATGAAAATAGATGAAAAGATACTTGTAGTTTTTGTTTTTCTTTATTTAAATTGTTATATTTTATTTTATTTTAATAACTTATTATTATTTTTTAAATCAAATTGGGTTGGATCAGATTCGAAAGTCTGACTTCCTCATTAGATTCGAATTTAGATCCATGTGTATCATATATAGGATCTGCAATTAACAGTATCAGATCGAATTCAGATATACCCTTATTCAAATATGATCCAATCTATTTGCATCCCTAGTTTCGGGTGACCAACTCTCCAAGCTAACTAGGTCGATTTGGTTGGCCCAACAACCAACAACCGAACCGAACCAACCCCCGAACACTCCTAATTTTAGCTAAATTCATATTATAATCTCTAATAAATAAAAATGGTTTAATCTCCAATAATTATTGACATTTATTTATTTTGAAGTTATTACATAATATTAAATATTTTGTTAATATAATTATTTAGCTATTTTTAATATTTTGTTATTTTATATATTTAGTGATTGAAATATTTAAACAATATTTTATTTTTTAATGTTAAATATTTATTTATTTGAATACCATTTAAATTGAATAATCTAGCAAACAATAATTTTGTAAAAATATAAAATTATTAATAATATGCATAATATTAGATCTATTATAACTATTTTTGTGTTTTGTAATGAATACTTTAAAGTTATTATATAATTTCATGAGAATATTAAATAATTTTTTAATTCAAACTTTCTTTAGATATAGATAAAAAATAGGGGAGAGGAGAAATAGGATAAGAGATAATTTAGGAGATAAATCTCTATTAAATAAGAGATAATTTAGGAGAAAGTGAAGAATAATGGAAAAAGTAGTTAGGAGAGAATATTATTTAGATTATTGAAAATGTATGAAACAGAGAGAGTATAAATATTTTTTATGTTTTTAATAAATATTTTTAAAATTATTATATAATTTTATGAAAATATTAAATAAATTTTTAATTTTTAATTCAAACTTTCTGTGACCTGGCCCCTTAGCCCCTGTCCGACACGGAATTAAATGAACGTAGTTAATATACTTCTTGGGTTTACGGTGAAAGGCTGAAAGCTGAAAGCAAAAGCAGAAGCGACATCCAATTAATTCTTCACGAGAAACTTCTCTCGGATAATTTGCTTTCCCAAATAACAGCCATTCCGCTGGCTGCTTCCCTTCTTTCTCCTTATCGCCCTGACTCAAAGGTTCATCTATCAATAATAAATGAATAAAACAAATTCTACAGTTCGTGCCATCTCTATACAACCATGAGTTTCAAAATGAGTCTGCATCGTAGCTTAAACCAAACTTTTAAAAATTGATTTGAAATTGGAATTGTTTTGGTCACCAATTTTTGAATTCACAGTTTGATTTAAACTTATTCATGGGTTGGATTGGACTGGGCTGGGCTGGGCCGGGTTTCAACTGTTATCAGTATAATATATTAAAACCTGAGCCTGAGCTCAGCCTGACCATCGGGCCTAGATTTTAGGCAAAAGTTCGGGCCTCACAAAAGCCTGAGGCCCGAAGCTCGACATGTATTAGGAATGGGGACATCAGAGTGCCACTTTAATTGACAGAGAGAGAGAGAGCTGGAGTTGTTTGTGGTTGCCGGAGTGCTACTATAAGGGAGAAACCTGGAATTGTTTGTGGTTGCTGGAGAATCAAAGAGACAGAAAATGAGACCTTGCTGCTCTCACTGGTCGCCAGTTGCGGGAGAGATGATACCGTTCACCACTCATTGGTCGTCAATCGCCGGTTGCCGCTTGTGGAAGGAGATGATCCAACATGTACCGCCACACTGATGTGGAAGAGAAGAAACTTCCAAGTTTTTGCAGGTTCGAACAAATTGAGGGAAAGAGATTGAGAAGAATTAGGATTAGAAAATAATAAATATATATATATATATATATATATATATATATATATATATATATATATATTATTGTCGGGTGGGATCGAACTTTTATGTGAAATCCCAACCCAAAATTGAGTCGGACTTAGATAATGGGGCCCGGGCCCAGGCCTGGACCCAAGGGCCTAATAATATGTCCAAACCCGATGAAATCAATGGTTTTTGACCGAGGGCTGGGTTAAGAAGGGACCCAGCCCTTCTTAAACAGCTATCGGCTAAATGGTCCAACCAATACTGGCTTAAACAGTAAGAACTAAGAAGGGACCCAGGTGTTAATAAAGAAGGGTAGTGACGCCATGATTACAGCATATAGGGTCGACGGTTACAACCCCAAACCAGCAAAGGTGAGTATTTCTTCATATGTCTGGTATTAGTCAGCGCCACCATCAGAGACACTGTCTCGTGCCAATAAACAGAATCATTTTACCCAACCCACTAGACGTCAAGCACCGAAATGATTGTCTTCTAAAGTATTTCAACTTTGAATTACCTTCCAAGGTTCAGCTCCGAAATGATTGTCTTTGGGATTTATGAACTATGAATTCAAATTCCATTCCAAGGTTTGACCCCCGCCTTAGCAAATCCGTACTCCATATGCAACATCTATGGATTTGCAAGTGTTTATTTGCCATATAAAAGAGAGGAAAAATGTTTGTTTCTAACATTTTCCTATTGTGAGAAGAGTGCATTATTGTATCCATTGAATGACTCTTTGGATCTCAAGAGAGATCATCATACAGCTTTTTACATCGATTTGAAACAAATAAGAAAAGAACAAAATGGATTATAACTGTGAATCATTTTGCATATTTAGTATATAATCGCAAACAAACGCAACCTTTGACTATTTGCCAAGACTGCCTTAGGTTGCCATTGTACTGGTGTAAATGGATGAGAGTGCAAAAATGATTCAAGATTTGATTCTAAATTTCGGATGGTGAGTATTAACAACATCAAATATGGAGGGGGACCAAAAGGAATGTATGTATGTACTAACTGATATCAAAGAAGAGCCATCGCGGCATACAGCATTTGCTTCTGCGCTTATTTGGATGCCCAAGCGGCGTCTCATTCGTTTTGGGTGGGTATCATCGGCTGTTCACGTTGGCGTGTTCCATTGGCAATTGGGCAAGTAAGGAAGGAAGGAAGATGACGTAGCCATTTGGAGAAACGAAGACCATGTCAGTTACGATGACGTGGAAAGATTAGCACGTGATCTCAGAGAAAGAGAGAGAGAGAGAGAGAGGTGAGACACATGTCAGGGGGATTGACCTCGCTGGCGCAGGATAGCGGGGACCACGATCGGACTTCTCTCTCCATCAGCTCATTAATTGACTTCACATGCTATGAGATGATGTCTGCTTCTGATTCCTCTTTCCTTTCTTACCTCCCTTTCGCCAAACGCTATATGTGCGTCTAATCTAATGGAATGCGCTGGGCGCTGGCCTAGTGGCCCTGTTCTGTTCTATTGCTGCTTCATTCTCCACTCCGTGAAATAAATAAAGCAGTTGAACTCTCTTGACAAGGCATTTAAGTCTCTCTTAAATGCTGCAACCATTCTCGCACGGCCATTTACTCAACTCAGGCCCAGGCTTCCCCCTTCTTTACTTTTTTCCTTTCTTTTTCTCTTCATACCATTTTGAGGAAGAAGCTCGAAAGAAAAAAAAAAAAGGGGGAAATTACATATACGCTGAGAGATTGGGGAGAGAGAGAGAGATTGCTTTGGCTTTGAGTAGAGAAGGAAAACACAGGAAAACAGATAGATAACAATCATGGCTTCTTCTTCTTCTTCAATTTCTTCTCTGTCATCAAAAGCTTCAGTTTCACCTCCTCCACCACCTCATCATTCCCCTCTATTCACTCCTGTGAGTTCTCAACCATCCATACAGACAATTTTCAGGCCACATTTATACAGAAAAAAATCTATAAAAGCTTATGGGTTTATTTCGGTTCTCCGTTTTGATATAACTTGGTCTTTGTTATTAGCTGCAGATTCGAGAGAACGAAGATGAAGAAGAAGAAGAGGAGCAGCACCACCACTACTACAACAGACGAACCCCAACCTCCCATACTACTGAACAGAATGTGACCTCAAAGCACCAGCCAACACCCCTCCATCATCATTCCATGAACAACAACGCTAAGCCGTCGTCCCGGAAACGACCGGAGGCCAACGACGAAGACGACCGTTCGGTGTCCTGCAACAAATGCCGGCCCACCTCCCGTGAGAAAATCTCGGTTGTTCCTATCGACATCAACGGCTCCAACAAGCATCCGAACGCAAGCCCCAATGGACTCTTCAGATCTATCTTCTTGTCTTTAACGAGAAAGAGCCCCAGGTCATCAGAGTCGTCATCTTCAACCGCCAAGGAAGAGCAATGGAAGCTCGTCGTCGCGGACCTGTCGCAGAAGCTCATTCAAGCCACTCGGAAGAGAGACGAAGCTCTCCAAGAAGCTTCTCGACTTAAGTACTCCATGTCCGAGTTAGAGAAGAAGCTCAACAAGCTTGAGATCTACTGCCACAACCTGAAGTCTGGTCTCGAGGTATGTAGCAATTCACCACATCTGGTGCCGAAAAATATCAACCCTGCGATGGTGATGAGTGCCGTCAAAGGACTCGAACATCAAGACTCGGTCATTGAATCATTTCTCAGCTCGGTGTCCGAAGCCCGGTCTTCGGTCCGGACTCTGAGCCGGTCTCTCACCCTCCAGCTCCGGCAGATGGGTTGCAGAGTCTATGAGCGCATCTCTGCTCTTCTCCAACCTTATGACGTAAAGGTTTCATTTTCCAAGAACCCAAGAAGCATCATGTTCTATCTGGAAGCACTCCTAAACCGAGCATTCTACGAAGACTTCGAATCCATCGGATTTCAGAAAAGTGGGTCCGAGCGAATCCTCAATCCAATACAAAAATGCGAAGCGAACTACGCTTCCTTCACTCTTCTCAGGGGACTCACCTGGGACGAGGTGTTGAACAAAGGAACCAGACACTTCAGCGAGGAGTTCAGCCGGTTTTGCGATCGAAAAATGAGTGAGATCGTGGCGATGTTGGGGTGGAATCGGGCGTGGCCGGAGCCACTGCTGCAAGCATTCTTCGGTGCGGCGAAGAACGTCTGGCTTATTCATCTGTTGGCTTGTTCGGTGCACCCAGCCTTACCCGTATTCAGGGTGGATAAGGGGATGAGGTTCGATGGGGTGTACATGGAGGACATGGGTGCAGACAAAGCTCGGAAGCTGGTTCCGGCAGTGGTCCGGATCATGGTGGCACCAGGATTCTACGTCTACAGTAATGTGGTCAAGTGTAAGGTTCTGTGCAGGTACGATAATACCGGTCAGGGTTTATCACCCTAAAACAAACAGCTCCATCAGATCAATTCTGTAAAAAAGAGGTCGTTAACATATAAACGCATCAAATAAAAAATATGATTTACATTACAGGGTCTGTTTGTTTGTGGATAGAGGTAGAAAGACCGTTTTGGGAGGAGGTGAAAGTAAAAGTTCGGGGTTGGCGTTTTCTTCTTCCTTGATTTGTTTTACTTCTTGTATCTATTCTTTTGATCTCTAGCGCATAGATTCCAATTCGGAAGCGTTGAAAGTCATGATTCATGGACCGTAACTGCATCTCCTCTGCGTTGAAGGTTTGTTTGGATGTGAGAAAAATGGATAATCACTTTTTTTTTTGTTCGTAAAGCTTCTCGTAGTAGTCGCAGGTCCTCTCAAACACACAGTTCACAGTTCACAGTTCACAAGGGAGTTTCGTCTTTTCCTTTTCAGTTGTCCCCTCTATACGCTGTGGTCTATACATACAAAAGCAACGTTGGGTGCAGGGCCACTGCCATTAATGTATTGTTACAGTTTGGACCCACCTCATCTGAAGATTTGTTCATATCTGACGCCAATTAGTTCGATTGGTTGGTGTAGCGAAGTAAATCCATTATGGCGCAGCGATTTTTGGTAGACGTGTAGGGCTGTTGATTATACGGTTCAGACCGCTAAATCGATCCGAATCAAACGAAATTGATGATTTGGTCTGGTTTAGACTTAAAAACGATCTGATTCGATTTGGGACAATTTCAAATTTCATGTTAAAATTTCAAATTAGTTGTCTGCATTTTAGTAACCGAACCAAATCTTAGACTGAAATATATTAATACAAATAATATTTTTTTGGTTGCATATTATATTGTATTATTAGTATATACAATAACTTTTTAAATTCCGCTTCAATAGAATGGTTCAAATCACATCAGAAACTGGACCAAAACGCAATGGTTTGGTTTTTTATATTAAAATGGTTTGATTTGGTTTAAGAATTTCTAATACTGAAATTCACTAGTTTAGCTTGAACTGGATGTGAGGTTATTTTTGGTTTTAGGGTTTCAATGATATCTTTTGCTATGAAACAGAGAAAACCGCTATCTTAAGAGATTAAAAAAGGTAAATTTCTTATTAGTACTTTATACTTTGGGCTTGGTTCCTAAACTTTAAAATGCAACAATTTAATACCTGAACTATTAAGATGTGCCAATTTTGTACCTATCGTTAATCATATATACATTTGAAAAGACATAAATGCCCATTGAGTGTCATCTAACTTTCTTTATCAAAAATCCAAATGTTGACAAAAAAAAAAATGAAGTCTCAAATCCTTACCTCTTCTATTTAGAAAAGTTGGGGTCACCAAAGTACCCATTTTGACATTACCCCAACTTTCTTGAATAGAAGAGAAAAGGATTTCGGACTACTCATTTTTTTTGTCTACATTTGGATGGTTGATAAAGAAAATTCGATGACATTCGAAGGGCATTTGTGTCTTTTCAAATGCCACTTAATAGCTGGTTGACAACTGATTAATGCTAGGTACTGGATTGACATGTTTTGAAAGTTCGGGGACCAAAGTGACATTAGGCCCAAAGTACATAGTACTAATTGAGAAATTTTCCTTGGCTTAGTTTGGAAAGAATACAAATACAAATGTGTAGAGTGCAAAACCTCATATTTTGTATTATTTTGTAGGTATTTGTATTATACATGTTTGCATTTGTACTCCTTCCAAACTGAGCCTTATACAAATATGTACAATACAAAAGATATATAAAATAATACAAAATACAAGGCTTTGCACTCTACGTATTTGTATTTATACTTCTTTCAAAATGAGCTTTTAAAAAATGGAAACATGGCTGTTTTAACAACTGAAAAGCATATTTTATGAGCAACTTTATAGTTCTGTTACTGATCCCCTATTATTTGCTATGTAAATTTGAAACAAAGTCAAATTTTGCACCTAGTTTAAGTTAAGTTTGGGAGTGCTTATTTTTTAAGTTCTTATTCAAATAAGCATTTATTTTGGTCCAGGACCACACCAATAAACACTTATTTGTATTTGGGAAATTAGCCCAAATGAGTTCTTAAAATAAACACTTATTCAAGAAGCTCAAAATTTTATCTTATACTACCCCTATTTGAAATAACCGCTTTTTCACCAAATACTCATCAATGCTTATAATTAGGATTTACAATCTTATATGATATAATATTTGTTCTTATGTCCTATTTGCAGTCATTAACAATGCAAATTTGCATTGCAAAAACTGATGTTAAATTAGTACCACCTTCTCTCCTATCTCAATTCTCTTTTATATTATTAAGTTGGGACCGTCATTTTATTTCATAACTCACTCCAAACAAATAGCATTCCTCCTACATTCTCTTGCATATGAGATGAGACTACATTTTACTTCTCACAATTGCAAAAATCAAATCTGATGCAAAAGTAAACCAGAACTTACATTCCCATGCATTTGCACCAATGCAAATGAAATTTGCACTGCAAACAAACTAGCTACCTTTCTTAGTGCCCGTGCGATGCATTGGATATTTGAACCAATGAACGATACCACAACCAGGTGTATTAACCAAGTTGGGTGCAGCCACTTGGTTGATTATTGACTACCTTTGTTAGTGCCAATTTGTTTGATTACTAAATCTTTTGTCCCAAAATGAAATCATACTTCAATTTCTTTATCCTAATTTATCAGGATTGATAATGTTAAGAAAATAAAGCAAACTTAGAACATGATAAATGATTCCATTTGGTATATAATGTAATTTACGTGTATTTAAGTGTTCAAAAAGTGAAAATAGCTGCTTGTAATTGATGTGCTTGTATTTAGTTTGTGCATGAACTTCATACAAGGAGGAAAATAAATTAAGAAAAACTCAACAAACTACCATGTCCATGAAAGGATCATGCCTGCTATATTTTTAGGTAATTCCAATAAGAGCAACTCTTCCACAAGAACTTACATGAACCATGTGAATATCCATAGAAAATGAAAAATGAGACAATTACATTATGTGATATATTTCCTTTAAAATAAAGCAAAAGTAGTAAACAAAAAGAATCTTCAATTTAAATTTCATATCAAACAAAATCTTGAGTGGAATTGATTTAATTTCCTAGATAGTTCAACTAATAGAAATATATTCAAATAAATAGAAGAATATTGATGTTGCAATTTACACAAATGAAGCACTCCAGAGAATTCTCATTTATAAGAAACTACTCATTTAGGAAGATAGCAAATGCTGCAAAGCAGCCGATCAAAGAGTATTTGAATAATTGGAAGGGTTGGTTGAAGAGGTATGTGTGCTCTTTGTTTGGCTGTAAAAAATACATAAACATCATATTAGTTGAAGTTGGGCTAGGTGTTTATGATTTTTTTGATGATCCAAGAATATCAAGTAAATCATGACAGACCATCATTAAGCATCATACCCATGTCAGTGCAGATTCTAAGGAGGCTCTGCACATGTTGCTTGAAGTTGTAGTTGGAACTTAGCCTGAAAAATGGATAAATTAAGTAGGTTAGGCTAAGCATTTGCAGAAAGCCTTTAATTAGGAAGCATCTTAGACATTTGGAAGTTCACAAACTTAAGCAGCTTAATGTTCCACCAAGTTGCTTGCCGAATGGATAAATTTTGATACTTTATTAGCTAATATACATTTCTATTTAGCCATTACAAAAGAATTCATCCTATAGAAAAATAGAGACCAACAAAACAATTATATGAGAAAAAGAAAATTATGTGTTTCTTTTGGAAATAAATACATGTAAAAAGAAATTAAATAGCAACATCAAGGCTTGTGTTCTTTAGATTGGATATTAGAGCTATTTAGATAGCTTGTTCTGAAGGTGTGCTGAGTTGGTTTATTTTGGAGAGGTCATTATATGTGGTGCATATGCGATGCAGCTTGTAGCTATTTAGTCATTCAATTTTAATGCTACTCTTTTGTCTTATATCTTTTTTGTTTACCTCTAAATTCTGATAAAAGGTTGGTTTCTTTGAGTTAGGCCATGTTTGGGAGTGCTTAAAAACAAGTGCTTATTTGGGCAGGGATCACACCATTAAGCATGTATGACTTATTCAATTTTTTCTCCATAATTCTCCCTAGTGAATTTTTAGAATACCAACTATAACCCTTTTATAAAAACATTTTTACAAAGGCACTTTCATAAAAGTAATTTTATGAAAATTACTTTTACGAAAGTAAAGTATTTTTACTAAAACACTTTTGTAAAAGTACTTTTACATGAAATCACTTTTGTAGAAGTACTTTTACATGAAAGCACTTTTGTAAAAATACTTTTACGAAAAGTATTTTTTATAAAAACACTTTTACGAAAACACTTTTATAAAAGTATTTTACAGAAGTGCTTTTATCAAAGTAGTTTTATGAAAGCACTTTTGTAATAGTACTTTTATAAAAGCACTTCTATCAAAGTACTTTTATTCATTTCACTTTGGATTGGATATTTTGAAAATTTGAAAGAAAATGAAGGACAAAAGAGTATTTATTATTTAAGTGTTCATTGGAGAAGAAGACCACCAAACACCCAATATAAAATAAGTGCTTATTTTTTTAAATATGCACTTGAAAAAGCTGGGTGCCAAATGCAAATAAGTGCTTATTCTTGTTTTTAAGCACATATTTTTAACATAAGCACTCCCAAACATGTCCTTGGTTGCAATACAAATAAGTTTGCACTGATGCAAAACTATGGCAATACAAATGATTCGAGTGTAAATTCTGGCCTATTTTTGTTTCAAATTTTGGTTTATCTTGTTTGATTACGCTATAAGTGAAGTAAATTAAGACATAAAGACATCCAAAACAAAATTAAATGAGAATTTGCATTGTTTTTCATTTGCACTCACATGCATTTGTACTAGTAATTGCACTGCAACCAAACACGGCCTTAGTTTCAACTGGTCAAGTACATCTCACTTTTGATGGTTGATAAACCAAGCATAGCCCAACTAACAGTAATAAAACTACCTAGGGGGCAATGCAAGACTTTGTCAAGAAAAATTGAAACAGAAGAAGCTTATAACGATCTCAATTGAGTCAAATCAGTCTAAGTCCAAGTCAAACATTATTTGTTGAATCATGTTTAACCGATCTAACCGTAATCCAAGTTTTGTCCCAGCAAGTGTGGCCTTTTTTTTTTTCCTTTCTTTCCACTCTTTCTTATTTGGATCGCAAATTTGTAAAGGCAAATTAGCACAAAAAGTAGCATCTTTCACATTTGCAAAATAACACTAACTTGA